CTCCAATCCATAATACTAAAATTTGACTCTGTTTTTGTTTTTTTTATGTCTTGGAAATACTTAAAATAATAATAATGACAGCTAATATAGTATCTCGTGAACCCGAAAGCGTTCTAGTGGTTAGCGTATTGAATTAGGAATCCAACGATTTCGAGTTCGACACGTGGTACTACCAAATACACTCTGCACTTTCTGCTGTAGATATTTTATAAGAGTCACATTCAATTTAAATAAACAGCGGAGATTATCCACTACAGGGGCAGTGCTGCTGACTATTTGTCTTGTTCCTGGTTTGCAGTTCAAAATTATGGATGGTTATGCTTCAATCACAGGACAGCCTCTGACAATGGGCTTAACTGGCTGTGTGCAGAAGGTGCCATTCAAGTGAACAAACAAGTAGCATCATGTATTTTGATTACTGTTTCTTTTTACATTTTTGTATTAATTGTTTGTTTTACTGTAAAATTATAGCCACTTAAGTTCTGTATTTCACTGTAAATACAGCATCGGGTGATTTATAAATTCTGACGTGTCTGAAACTTGAAAATCTACCTTATTTTTATTATACCTTCTAACCCAGAAGGCTCAACGGTAAGATTGAGAGCTTATAACACTTAAAATCGGGTTACGATACTCGTGGTGGATAGAGCACAGATAGCCCATTGTGTAACTTTGTGCTTAACAAGAAATAAACAGACAAAACATTTTTTTATTTCCAATAAAAAAATCTGGAAATAAAAATTATTATCCCATGGGATAGACACAAAACCAAGGCGATGTAAAATGGGGACTGTAGAACGTTTTGTGCTGAGAATAGGTATCTGCAGAGACGTTTATTGGTATACATTATATATCAGATTAATCTTTTTATGTTTTCACAAGCCTCACAATATTAATTAAAGAGCAGAAGTGACTGCTCCTGCCTAGAACGTCTAATATGTAAATTAGTATTCAATATGTGTAGCCAGTTGTGGGAAAGTGGTTACTTGGAGCAAGAAACACACACATAAACAACTCATAGAAATATGTATATTATTAATGATGAAGAATTGTGGATAATAGTAAAAATTATTCTCCGATGTTGACAATCTAAGTTGCTGCTGTTGTTTTTCTAATGTAGAATTAAAGTCAAGAGGATATGTAGTAATTCAACTTAATAATATTATTAACAAAAACACATAAGATTAACCCACCGACCAATCAAGTATTAAGTTGAATTACTATATCTCCTCCTGACTTTAATTCTAAATTAGTAAAAAAGAAATAGTTTATGGTTTTAATTAAAAGTTGGATCTAAAAAACAGCGTACACTTCAGTGTGGGTCCTATATCTGTGGATAGAGAGGCGTACTCCTCCTCCACTAAAACATATCGTACTGTTACGTATCTGGTCGTTTGTTAATTTCCGGAAAAATTATTTCCGAGTGACTTCAGCGATACAAGTCCCTTCTTAATAAAACTAGTTTATTCTTTCTCGCTACAAACTTTGTAATAAACTTAATTTCCTCAGTCACTTTA